GGGGGTCTTGTAATAACCTTTCTACCTCCAACACACACACACACATCCTTAGATAGCAAATTTCTACAGCATTCATTGGGGCAATATCTAGAATTAATGGTTATAATCCCTCATTCTCAATCTGTAAGTAATTCAAATAGTTGCAAAAATATTATTGTCATAATCATCACAAAAATCCATTTGCTAAAATTAGAATTGTGTCTATTTTTAAAAGATGACCTTTGACACAGAGGTAAAAAGATTTGCCCAAGACATTTAATTAGTGTATAGCAGTACTTGATGGTGGTTAGGAGCATGGACCAGGCCACCAGACCGCCTGAGTTCAAACCCTGGTTATCCCCTCGCTGGCTGTGAACCTTGAGCACATTAAGCAATCCCATGTGCACCTCTGTTTCTTCATTTGTAAACTTGGAATGGTGATTGTAAGAGCATCTATTTCACAGGATTATTATGAGGATCAAAAGAGTTGGCATCTGTAAAGGGCTTAGAACGGTGTCCGGTACATAGCAGCACTGTTTAAGTATTTGTGACATAAACAAACAAATTAGTAGAGATGTAAAGAGCTGTCAATTCTCCAACTCCTAGGCCATCAACTCTACTGGCGTTGTCTTATTCTCTGTCGTGTGGGAGCAATGATGCAAACAGAGCTTATAGAAGGGAGGTAAACATTTACACCAGCGCGGAGATTGCTCAGTTTTAATTGAGCATCTCAAATGTGCCAGCGGCCAGGGAGGGGGCAAGCAAAGCAGCGCCCCGCGCAGGGTCGCCCGCGCACCCCACACGCTGCGACCCTGCTTCTCCCACTCCGCGAACGCATCCGGCCGAGTAAACAGGAGTGAGCCACAGAATCAAGTTTCTTATCCATTTTAAGACATAAATATATCCTCGATCCCCCAAAGCCTGTGGGCTACATCTGCAGTGCCGCAACATTTTTCCTTCGTGGCTTTAGCTCATCTGACAGCAACAAGCGTCTGGGTTAGAATCTGTAATTTAAAATCAAGTGGCTTGTTTTACCTACCCGGGCGCACATAAACTATCAGTGAAAGTGTTTACAATGACCTTGGGAATGCGAGCGAAGATATTTTGATAAAAGCCCGGCGGGGGACGCGTAGGTCTCGCGGGTGCGCGTCTGGCACGGGGGCGGGCGGGGCGGCCCCGCGCTTATGTAACCAGCGCCCGGCGCTCCCCGGGCTGCGCGCTGCTAATTGGCGCCCGGCCGCCGCGTCCACGTTCGGGGACTTCGGGAGGGGGGCGGTCCGGCTGCGATTTAATTACCTTCCCCGGGGGCAGGCTCGGTAAGGCCCCTTTTAGGGCACGTTGCGCTGGAAACAGCAGCTGCAGCCCGGGGGCCTCCCCAATGAGGGCGCGAGGCGATTGCGCCTTAACCGCCCTCGTGGGGAGTGTGCCCCGGGGCGCTCCTGCAAGCGCACGAACCGGGCACGATTCTGAAAATCCTCAGGGTGAGCCCCTCGAAAGCAGGCCGCGGGGACCAGCAGGAGGCTCAGCCCCCGAGGGAATGGCCTGCCCAGCCCAGGGTCCGGGAGAAGGAAGGAACCTGGTGGCGTCCAGAGCCTGCCAAAGGGCCCCTGGAGAATACTGTGCTAGCCTGAGCTGAAAAGACAGGCCCCCGTGGTGGCTACTGCCTCTTAAGACAGAAGTGCGTGTGTAAGAGTGTGTGTGTAAGTGTGTGTGTGTAAGTGTGTGTGTCTGCGCAGGAGCAGGCGCAGGCTACAGGAAGATATTGGGGTCTCCAACAGGAGGAAATAAAATTCTCAAAGCTGGGGCCAGGGTTTCCATGCGGGGGCCCTGGAATGCGGTTATGCTAGTGAGAAACACCGCATGAAAGATGTATTGCTCTCCTTCCCCCCCCAGAGCGGTGCGAGGAGCACAGGGGAAGTCTGCTGTAACCTGTTGTGCCTTTGGAAAGCCTTGAGAGCGACTGAAGTTCGTTTTCCAACCGAGGATCATACCGCGGGCATCTTAAGAGAGCTGGCGGGGAGCAGCGCTGAAGGGCACATGCCTGAGAAAAGCGCCTCGGTATTTGTCAATGTCTCTCACAGGTGGGGGGAAAGATAGCTAATGAGATGTGCCTAGTGGGGAATTCTCCACCTGGCTGACATTGGCAGTGACTTTTTTTTTTTTTTTTTTTTTTGCCCTTGCTCCTGGTTTTTACCTGCAGATGTTGAGATGGCTTTGGGGGCCTCTGTGAAGCTGATCTTTTGCCTCTGCTGTTCCTCGGATCATCTGGGGAGGAAATGAGGCCCTTTCACATACAGTGATGAATCTAGTTTAGAGCATTTTTCACCTGGTGAATGAAGGTCCTGTAATTTAACAAGCCATTTCTTACTAGGCTGTCTGGCTTTTTTTTTTTTTAAATCGTCGCCAAGCCTTGCCTCACAAAAAAATAAACATGGACTGGTGTCTGCTTTATCTGGCCTTCTTTTAAGGAACACCCTCAGAAAAAGTAAAATTTCCAAATGTAGGCATATCCACCAAGATTCTAACTCTATCTTAAAAAGAAATAGCATCCATTTGTTTTTTTAATTAGAAGAGTTATGTTCAACTGGAGGACATTTCAAAATTACAGGGGAAAAAACCCTACAAAATGCAGCTATAATCCCACCACTCACAGGGAACTGTTTTTTCTAAGCACGTAAGAGCTCCTTTCTTTCTGTAGGATCATGCTGTACATTTTGTGTAGCCTGCTTTTTTGTACTTAATATAATGTGAACATTTCTTATTCCAATAATTCTTTTTCAACATTATATATATACATATATATCAACACATTGTTTTTGTATGTCAACAGCTTCACTTATGCTACAATGTACTAACATCTTATTTCCTGCATCTCCCTAATTTCCAAATAATATAGTTAACTTGCTCTTATGCCTTATGCTTTCTTGTTTCAGTGAACAAAGGAGTATCTAGTTTTTATTTATTTTCTAGTAGAAGAAAAGTAAATGATGTGAGTGGACCAAAGAAACAACACAACTACAGAAAGCTTTTTGTTCTCTGCTACAGCAGTTGAAAGAAAATGTAGGAATTTGATTTCTACCAGCTCTGATTGCTGAGTTGGGTGTTTATCTCCCTAAACTCTGAAAGGGTGTGTCTATGTTTTCCTTTGGAGTAGATTCTTTGTGCAGTGGAAATGCTGTGTACTTGACCGGGCTCCAACCGAGCACACTGTCTCTAACAGAAGATCTACGTGCCCATGAAAGACACACGCATACTTGCTAAACCATGCACATCCAACTCCCCATCCCTTTTGCCCTCAGACTCTTGGCACAGGTCATTTGGATGCACCCAATGTACTTTTTCTGTCTCAGTGATCCCACCTACAAGAGGAAATCCACTCAGACGGCTTTGTTATTAAATAACCCTCAAGATACGGAAGTGGGCACTGATATAGGCATCTTTTCCCTGGCAAAGCGTTTTGGTGAACTGATGAATTTTCAATATTCCTTTTAAGGGCATTGAAGGACAGACTTCATATGCTCCATGCCAACAGAGTTCATGGAAATTAAGACTTTAAAAAAAAAAATTAGCATTACATTGGCGTCTGGATGAATGCCCTCCTAAAACATTTTTTTGGCCTGTCTAAAAATGCAATTTCAGGGATAATCAGATATGCAGCCCCTTAAAAAGCATTCTTTTATTTTGTACTTGTGTTTCTTTCTATGTGACAATAAAAGAAAAAGAAAAATGACAACTTACTTTCATAGCAAACTGGATACATGTCTGTTCATCAACTTGATATGAGACACAAAGCATAAACAAACCAAGGTAGGCCACCAAGCAGACCTGCAACGGAGAACAGGGACAAAGCGATGTTATCAGGGCGAGGCATGCATTCCAACAGCATCAATCTCAGTGTCTTCTACCAGTAACAGCCTTCGTATCCAGGTGTTTATTTCATTTACTTATCTTTATTTGCTATTTTTCTCAGCTTGTGGGATGGAGTTTTAAAAATAGTAAAATCAATTTAGCTAGTATTTATTAAGTCCTTTGGATGTGCCAGGTGCTATACAAAGTCCTTCAGAGTATCCAGTGATGAATAAACTTTCTCAACCTCAGTAAGTGTACAGTCCAAGCCAGGCCAAGCTAAGTACAAGCACTATTCTGAAGCAGGGCATAATATGTCAGATGCTATTCAGAGACGTACAAAAAGAGGAAAAAGTAACACTGAGTTGGGCGATTTAAAAAGGCATCACTAGAGAGGTAGGTTTGAAATGGTCCCTGAGAGGGCTGATGGTAACCATCATGATTACTAACATTACTGAACACTTCGTGCTGGGGCTCTTCTAAGGGCTTTGTATGGATTCCTTCATATAATTATCACAATCCCCTATTAAGTAAGTGTTGTTGTGATCGCCATATCATAAAGAAACAAAAGCACAAAGCTAGTAAATAATGGAAACAGCACTCAAACCAGGTAGTTGAGTGAAACAGCATGAACAATAGTCCAGAGGCAGGACGCACAATTGTGTGGGAAGAACAGCCAACGTGTACCTAAAATTGAAATAACAAAATATAGAATTACCTGGAAAAAAAAAACAAAACCCAAAATATAGCACTACCAGAAAAGGTAGGTTGAAAAGCTGGCTTTGTAGGATTAATTGAGTAAGTGGTGGGACTCCCTTGAAAATTTTTGTGCAGTGGAATGACATGATTTAAGACACGTTTCAGGAAAATAAGCAGTGGTGTCAGGTGGGTTGGCAGTGAGAATATCGGGATATTACTTTACTAATCGAAGCAAGATTAATATACCAGGTGGGTCAGGGCTCAGAGGGTGGCAGGCAAAGTCAGAGAAAGTGGCAGAAAGGAAAAGTGTAGCAAAAACAGAAGCTGTACATCTTGGCTATGGCATGACTGAAGGGAGGACACTGGAGGAGAAATGAAAGCAATGTCCAAGCTCTTGGGTGTCGTGGAAAGAGAGGAGTGTGCCTGGCTGGGAGAAGGCTGGCAGGAAGAATGGCAACTTGAGAAAAAAGATACTCAACTGGTTAGTCAAACCAGATTTTCTTTTTAGTGCACTGGAGTTTTTTAAATTTTGGGTTAGAGTTTCTACTCAATGCCTATCTATTCACACTCCATTTTGGAAACCCTAAATGTTGCTAAGTTCTACTTTAAGATAGAAAACATAAGCAACAATACTGCATTTTCTGATAAATACACTTTTCCTAGAAACAGATGTTGGAAGAGTGAGAGCCGCCTAGCGAGTCATCAAATGACTGGCTTGGTGATATAATTCCTATCCCTAGGGCCAGCTTCAAACATAGACCATTTCTGCTAGGGTGGTAGAGCTGTTGACTTAGAAGCCATCATAGCATTTTAAGGTAACACCTCTATCCTATTCACTCCTTGATTACAAAATCAGTAGGTTGCTTGTCCCCTCATGGGTTCCCAAGTTGAGAGGTGTTCAGGTTTCTACAGGGCCATGAAGCCAAAAGCCAAGCCTTCCTTCGTAGAGGCATTTGCAAGGTTTTCCATCATTAGGACTAGCTGCATGGCTTAAGAGTAGATACCATGCCCAGTGGAGAGTCACAGACTGAAAATATGTGAGCATAGAGTGGACTGGAGAAGTCCAGGTAGGAAGCAAAGCAGACAGGACCCAAGGAGACAGGTTTTCAGCAGAGGTCTGGAAGATTTGGAAATAATGATAGTGAAGTTGTTTGTGTAGCCCACACGTGGCTGATGTTTCCAAGTCAGGGATGAAGTTCTTTCTCAAAACTCTTTTTTAACAAAATATCTAATTGAGGTATAAGTTTGATAAAAACTGTAAGGGCCTACTATGTGTTCTTGCATTAAGAATTTACAGAACAGAAACAATGGAAAAAAGATTTCCTTTTTGTTTATTGACAACAAACCAGATGGAGCCTTCTAACCTGCTTCTATGGGGACTGTTAAATCCCAAAGCATGTGCCTACGCTCCCTGTTAGTGTCTCTCTGTAGGTGCACAGGGTCAGGCTCTCTCCCACATAACTGTCTTGGTCCCTCAAGGCTGCTGTGCTGAAGCTGTCAAGTGCCAAGACTTTCTTCTTGGTGTTTACGAGAGACACATTCCAGAAATCAGGCCTCACTGAGTAGCATCTTAGAAATCTGCCTCTGTGCCTTGCTTGAACAACTTTTCCCACTTTAGTAGAATCTACTTCTTTGTAGCCTTAACCTAGGCTGGTTTCCAACAAGAAGCTGCACAGGAGCCTATGACCTCATTGTAGAGGATTTCATTCACTTAGTCAATAGACTGAACTTTTTTAAGGCTATGCAATAGCCAGACCCTGTGCACAGCTCTGGGAATTGAGAGGTGAAAGGACAGCCTCAGCCTTCGAGGAGCTCTCAGCCAAGCAGGGAAAGAGAGAACAAAGTCATAATACTGTGTAGGTACTAGGACCATGTCTGTTGTGATACACAGGAGAGGTGATTAAGCCAAGGATAATTTGGGGAAGCTTCCAGGAGGAAGATGGATTTTGAAAGATAAGAAACTAGTTAGGAAAGGGAGGCGAGGAAGAGTAGAGAGAGTCGTACTAGATACAAAAGTATGGAGAAACCCAGAACAAGCATTCAAAGACTCCTAGAGCTCCAGTTCAGAGGATGAGGGAAGAAACGGCAAAAGATGTGCTCACAGAGATGAACGGGAGGGAGGGCACAAAGGACTTTTATTTCATTGGAAGCAGGGGGAGGGTGTGGTGAACTCTTGACTCTTAGAATGACCCTACTGGCTGTGAAGAATGGGTTGGGAAGGGAAGACCAGCTAGGAGGCTGCTCATCTATGGAGAAATGACAAGTGTCCGAGCTCAGATAGCAGTAGGGATAGAGAGGGTGTGCTTGAGTGACAGGAAGGAAGCAGAATACATAGGCTCTAAGGACTGACTGGATGTGAGGGCTGAAGGAGAGGGAGGGGTCAGGAAGGTACTAGCTACTGGACTTGAGCTGCCAAGTGGAGGGGGTTGACATGTAAGTCATGAGATGCAAGAGGAGGAACAGAATGGGAGTGGAAAATGATGGTGCCCACATGGGCTCGAAGCCCAGCCACCTGGGTCCAGAACTCAGGAAAGCAGTCTGTGAGGGAGATGAGCATTTGTCAGTCATCAGCATATGTAAAGCAATTGAAATAATCAGAAACCTTGCACCATCCAGAGAGAGTCTAGTGAAAACAGAAAGGACCAAGGAAGTTACCCAGCTATGGAGAACCTTTGACTCTTTTGAACAGAAAGCACCTCAAATACACTTCTTATAATTATGCTTGTACATCATGACATGTCTAAATATTACAAAACTGACCATCCTTTTGGATTTTTATTTTATTATTTTTTAAAATATGTTTTTTATTGATTTTAGAGAGAGAAAGGAAAGGAGAGGGAGAAAGAGAAACATTGATATGAGAGAGAAACATCGACAGGTTGCCTCCCGCATGCACCCCAACCAGGTATCAAACTGGAAACTTGGGCATGTGCCTTGACTAGGAATCAAACCAGTGACTTTTCTGTTTATGAGACAACATCCAACAAACTGAGCCATACCAGCCAGGGCTCCTTTTGGGTTTTTAAGTTTCACTTCTAGGTCTCTGATTGGGCATTTGCTAAAAAGCCTGATTAATTCAACATATTGCCATTTCTTGGCCTTCTGATAGGGCTCAATAGGACATAGGAGTGGGTATTTCATTTTCTTATCTACAGCTTTGCATGATAAAATAATACTTCTTTATCAGAGCGTTTATTAGGAGTTGAGTGTAAGTACATTCTAGGAGAGTAGCATTTATTAAATACTTAAAAATGAAGTCTTTATGGCCATGGGGAGGAAACCTGATTTCTCACGCCAGACTAAGGGTCTTGTTTCCTTAGCTGGCAGGACGTGGGCACACCAGGAAGACAGTGTTCTGGCTTCCCAGGAGGGGAGGGGAAACTCATGGTAATGAGCAGCGAGACCCGCCAGGCCTATCTGGAACAACATTCCTGGATTCTGGGCCAGAGCTTCCATTAGATATGGTGAGGTGAGGCCCGTGGAACAGGAAAAAGGCAGTTATGTAAGGTTTTCAAGAAGGCATTTGTTGGACCAGGCCTGGGGCAGACAGGTGGTGTCACTGAGCACAGAGCTGAATATGAACTGGGTGACACTAGGAAACCAGTGCTGAAAGGGCCACTAGCCTTTAAGATCTTGCTAAGATTTAGTCCATGTACAGATGGATAGTTCTGTTGCTAAGAAAAACCTGAAGTGCTTTTTAATAGAAAACAGAAAATGACAATTACCATCATTTTTAACCTATTTTTAGATGCACGTTTCTACAATTTGTTTAGAATAAAGAGAACACCTAAGTTTTGAATTCTACATGCTGTCTAAAGTTATTCTTTGTCTGCTCAGAGTGAAGACTGCATTCTCTCTCGTGAGTTAGGAAGTTAAACAGAGCTGAAATGTTCTCTGAATGTTAAATCCATGTCTAGATGTCTGAGGCCTGAGTCTTGTCACACACTCTCTTTGCTTTTGCTATCCCGCCTATCATACCTACAGCGGTGTCTTTCGAGGGTTGGCATTATGAGTAAAAGGTGAATGCTGGACCAGTGTCTTGGAGATTTACCTACATATTAGTTTTAGTTTTTCATCTGGGCCAAGTGAGAAGGTATAACCCAAAAACACTTTGTGATATTTTGTGGTATTTACTTCTCTCAGTGTCATACGCATTTATATTCTGGTCTTGTGACATTCACACAACCTCCAGTTTATTTGTTTTCTCTTCTTTGTTGTCAGCAGAGCTGCTTGACAGGGCTATCTGGGGAATACAACCTTTCTTGTCAAATGCCTTTCA